CACAGAGCCGCATGGTCTCGCACATTTCTCTTCGCTTGCCTTCTGACAAGTCAGTTTGCAAGGAAGCCGCCCCCAAGCCCCCGCGCCTTGCCAGCCCCCACCTGCCAGGCACCAGACCCTCCCCGAGGGCCGCAGCAACTTTGCCAGAGCTGCCCTTGTGCTCCTCGCACTTCCACAGCCACTCACTCTGCCAGGGTTGAAGGCAGCTCGCACCAGAAAGCCCACAGGGGCTTTCTGAGGTGTTTCCTTGTAGCATCAGTGCAGAGGAAAAATTTCCCCATCAGCCCAGATATTTGACGGAGGAGGGAAGTGTGAAGCAGTCTCATTTCCTTATGGCACTTTCCCCTGTTGCACAAAACCAGCCGTCCAGTCCTGTGGCTCACAGCCATCCTTTTCAGCCAGTTCCACGCACTACCCTGTTCACCAACAGTCTGGCCCAAGGTTTCCTGGGCATGCAGCCAGCTGGTCCCGAGGGCTGGGGTGTCTCTGAGCCATAGGGGTCCATGGAGAAGGTGTCTTTTCTCTCCAGGATGCGTGCTGAGAAAGCCTGGGATATGGCAGCTCCCCCTTCATCCATCTCAAGCAATGGGAGGTTGCACCAGCGCACTGGCACAGGGATGGCAGCTGGCCACAGGCACCTTCCATCACTGGCCAGGGCCAGGGAGGACTAACAAGAGAAACGCAGCTGTGGGGAGCCAACAAAGAAGCTCTTTTAAAAACAGAACCTGCACCGTTCCAATTTCAGTAGAAATCCAAACGTATTCAGGGGCTGTTTTTTAAAGAAGCCATGAATTCCCCCACGGCTGGTTTTGGTTGCTCTTTCTGTCGCTGCTGCAAGGTGTGCATGAGGCACATGGGGAAGCGGTGCAGGGAGCACACGGGCTCCAGCCCCAGCCCTGAGCTGCCTTCACCCCCAGCCACGTGCCCAGTCTGAGGCTGAGGACAGCAGCAAATAGAAAACGAAACACAAACCAAAGCTTGCAGGGGGAGGAATAAAACCATAGCCCAGGGAAAACCCCTGATGCCCACAGGCGCGGGGAGGACTTTTGCAGGAAAAGCCTTGGGGCTATCCTAGGGAAAGCTGCAATAACCAGAGGCTACAAGGAGGCATGGAGGCTC